CACACCCACTGTTTCCCATACACATTCCAGCGAGTCCTTGAGATTCGTGTTGGGAGAGTCCTCCCTGGATTCCTGCCGCCACAACCCAGCGGTTTGGGGCGAAGCCTCACGTGTGAGGCTCCTGGGAGAATGAGGCTGTTCTCAGTCAGCACATCTGCAGTTGGCTGCCGCAGGATATTCAAGGAATGTCACCTGGATGTACTGGGTGACATCAGATGGACCCAGAGGAGGGTTCGGAGCAGGTCGCTGCAGGGCCCCGGCCTGGGGCCAAGACTGGCCATGCCTGCTGAAGCCCCACCATGGACACATGCTCACACCTTTCAGAAGTCTGAGCGCGGCTGAGTGGCGGTTACCGGATAACAAAACCAGGACTCAGAAAACATTTCTGCAGTATCAAATAATAGAATCAGCTAATAAGAAGTGATGAGACATCCCTCTTTTCGGTTAAAAATATTAAAAATACATGCAAAGGAGACTTGATTTATGGCTCGGTACAGCCATGTGTGATTGGAGCTGGCTTTTGATTTGACTGGACAGTTAATGTTGGCGTCAGTATTCTTAGTTGTTTTAAACCAGGATCGGGAGTCAGATGATTTGGGTGCATTTCTTGCTCTTTGAGGCTGTTCCCCCATCCATCAAAGTCATGCCATAGGGACCTGGGGCGAGCGACGTAAATAAGGAACGCAAAAGGTGAACCCAGACTGCGGAACGCAGCGATCATCTTAGATGCAGCCTCCCCATCAGCTCCCTTACGGAGACTTCTCATCTGACCACTGAGAAAAGCCACTACAGACGGGTTGCCCATGGTAACCCTCATCATCCTCTCACTGGGAGGGAGCTGAGTCCTGAGAGGCCCCTGGGGGGATTTCCAGAAAGGGCAGCTGAGGAACCTTTGCAGCCAGCGAGGAGCAGAGGCCTGGCCATGATGAGGGAGCAAGGGTGGCCTCCACACCGCCCTCTGAGGAAGGGGAAGGCAAGCCCTGGCGATTTCCAGTCAGACGCATGATCAGGAAATAAACCCTCAACAGATGCAGCTTTCGTATCTATGTACATCGTGCCCAGGATTTGAATTACCCAAAGAATGAGTCACATGTTAGGAGGTGATAAGTGGCCCGTGTCTAGAGGCTTTCAAGCCGAGGACTGGCCACTGTCAGGTTTGCTTCTGACCTGAATAAATGACTTCCGAGTGCTCCTCAGCCACAGGCTCCTTAGACTTAAAGGTTGTCTTCACCCGCCTGACAGTTCCCCAGGTAAGGAAGTGACTGCATTTCACCTGAATTGAGAAGCAGATGTCCCAGAGAGTCACAATACCGGAGGACAGGGCTGTGAAGAGTAGTATAGCTGTCCAAGTATAAATGCTTCAGCTACAAGAAATGCATTTTATAGTCTGTTCTGTTTCCTACATGTTCAATGCGCTATATACTGTATAGGTGGTTTTGTGCTGGACAGGTAATGGTGAAAAATGACACCTGGAGAACATTCTTAACCTAGGCTTACTTCATGATATTTACCATAAGCAGCATTATGTAATAATGTTATAATGCCCCCCCCCAAAAAAAAAACTTTAGTAATAGCTCACAATAGCAGGTAAGCTATAGTCCAGAGCAAGAGGCTATTCCTTAAAAACGCACATTCTATTTTATTGGATGAAAATTGTGGGTTGAAACAAAACATCTGCCTAAAGTGGTCTTCGTGAGGTTGCGGCTGCTAATTGGGCCCTAACTCAGGGTTACTGGTGAGTCATTATCTTTCTCTCTATTTCGTTGAGTAACCAAAAGGTGAAGGTTTGGTTTTAATCAGGTTCACTGACTTAAATGGGGTAGATTCTTCAAGCGTGTTTTGAAAGTTGCCTGTGGGGTAGCCCAGATATGAGTTACATGTACAGTGCAATTCACCCCTGCAGGGAAGCGAATCCGATGCTATTACAAGACGCCCATCAGGCTGCAGCCTGCCCGTTAAATGTGAGTCACATCGTGGCCCTAACTTTCCTTCCTCTAACGTGAGACCTTTGCGATTCCTTCCTGCACCCAGGCAAACTAGTTTTGCTTTACCTCTTTTTCCTAGTTATTTTATCAATCACATTTTCCCATGAGGATGCTGTGACTTATCATACCTGACTTCGCCAAAACCTCTTTCACACATTTGAATCTGCAGAATGTTATCTGACCTCTATGCTTAAAAAAGTGGATCTCAGTATCTGCTGTGATGCCACCAACCCACTAGCCACCAGCCGTATCAACAATTCATCAGCAATTCCCATTTATGGAAGATCACAAGCAACTAAAACATAGCCTTCTTAATAAACGTGGCTGTTCGGTCAATTTTATATATGGAAATTTTTTTTCTCAATGATCAGTAACTTTAAAAAGGAAATTGGACTCCACCACAGAGGCTCTGTGCATTCTGGGAGGGATACAGGAGAGGGCTCGAAACAGAAAGACTGAGGTTGCCCTGATCCATGGGCCTGAGCTAAGCCAGCTGGAAGACCCAGCCCTTAGAGAGATCGGCTGACAGCCTCCGGCTTCATCTACAAGCTAACAGGGACTGTCTGGTTTCAAGTCTAATGAAACTGGGGTTATTTAAGCTCAAGTTCTTATTTTCAAATGCACTATCTGAACATTTCTCTGAATAACACCAGAACTCTTCATAGAGAAAGGATGCAGTCTGCAAGAAGATGAACAATGTAGATGACGAAAGTAAGGACATGAAAACGAAAACCATGCACCCAGGGAGCACGATACCAGCACCACTGAGACACCTGCACCCCGATGCCCCCCCCACTTCCACACTCCTGCACGCGGATTTCTGGTACCACCATTCACATTGCAAAAAAATCACAAAGGATGCAAGGTGACTCTTTCCTTTTGCGTTTGTATTTCATAAGAGATAAAAGCATTCATGCCATAGAGGACAGGGGGTCCTGACAGCCTGCAGAGAACGTGCACCCCCTGCCCCGTCAGTAGGTCATTCCAGCCCTCTGAGTCTCTCTTCTTGGTGCAAAATATGGGGTTGTCTGATTCCTCCCACACAGGAGAATGACATCAAGGGGTAAATAAAGTGCTTTGTGTGTTGTCATGTGTTATAAACATGCATTTGCAATGGTAAAGACATCTAACTGGTGTATGTAATAATAAACGAAGCTTTGACAAATTCTCCTGAGAAGGGGATGTTGGGGTTGCAAGAAGTCTAATGACTGAAAATGTCTCAATCATAAGCCGTAATTCCAAAATGAACCATTCCGAGCCTTGAAAGTTAATCACAATAGTTCTAGTGATATTTAACCTAAGAAGACTGAAAATTTACTACCCAAAGGAAGATGTATAAACTTACAGAAGCATTAGAGTTTGGACTGAAGCTTTAGATTTGGGATCTCTCTCAATTCAGTCTGAACATGGAGTAAGTTTTCCTTCACCTTAAGAAACCCCTACAGGAAGGCTCTATTGTATTTCCCCTTCATGCAGTTAGCATGACCAGAACATGACTCACTCTCATCTTAAACCACAACAGTCCAGTCCTAGGTCTAGCAGTGATTTTCTTTCTTTCTTTCATTTATCTATCTGAGCTGGTGGTGTGACTCCTCTCCATCCCCCCGCCCCCCAATACTTGCCAGCTATTCAAAGCCATGCTTAACAGGCTTGAAATGACATAGGAACCTTGTAATTCGTCTAACACAGACTTGCATACAAGTCACACACATACAAAGGCTGAGGCCAGTATTCTCCTATTCATCCTCATCTTTTTTATGGGCTTTTTTTGGGTTTATATTGGGCACTCAAGAAATGTACGTGATATAAACCATCACTCGAAAAGGCCACAGCTATGACAATGCACTAAAAGAAGAAAAAAGCTATAAAACCGACAGTAACAAAATAGCAAGGATATGGCATTTAATAAAATAAAATGCAATTGATGCACAGTGTAAAATCATGAAGTTAAGCTGTAGCCAGTGAAACATAAATTTAGTTTCTTATTAAGCCAAATTTCCCTAATATGAACATCTCCATAGGAGAGAACACATTTTTCCTCAATTGAAACATCAATATTAGCTAAAGCAATGCCAATTCAATTACATGTACTTCTATGCAGCCTGTCTTAAGGGCTTACTATTATTCTATTTCTGTATTCTGCCTTTTATATTTGTAGAAGTGATTTCTTTTTACAAAAGCATCTATGCAAATCCTTCAATACAGTACATATGCACTAGCTTCTAAGTGGGAAAATTCCTTCAGATGAATTTTAAACACACCACCATCAAGCCACACGCCTGCTGTAAAGAAACCCAGAAATCTTACATAACCTTCGTCGTCACAGGTGCAGATATATTTACAGGACTATCAGTATAAATCAAATGGCTCTGAATAAAACATCACTGAATTCTATGGGAATTCAATTCCTGCTTCAGAAGTATTGCATCCTGAATTAAACCCCTTGCCACGGTGGCAGAGAGAAACACATTTTAATAGTAACAATTTCACCAATACATTTACATGCAAGTTTTGATTAATGCCCAAACCGTATCAACCTTAATTTTATTTTCAGACACAGAAAAAGGCAGGCAATATAGACTTGCTAAATTACAGAGTTTTCACAGAAACTGCTCGATGTACCACTTAACACTGACACCTGGAAATACACCCGGTGAGAAAGCGAGCTTTCATCCGTCAGCACGCTGCCATGGCCGGGACCCCACCCAGCACCATCGCTCCCATTCAGGGTCCCTGCATTAGGAAACTCTTCTAGATCTTACCAAGCAGCTGAAATCTCAAGACCTACAGATGCTCTGATCCAAAGATCATCTTCCTTGTTTGCTGCTGAGCCACAGAAAGTACTAGAAATCCACGACCACATGCCAAGCCAGACAGCAGTGGATAAAACCCAACCCAAAGTCCACCCTCCCCTGCTCGGCGCTGACATGAGCAAATAAAGTGAGTCAGCCCTGCCACCGCCGGAGAGGCCTGACTGGACACCCTGCTCAGACGCGAGACTCGGTCGGTACCCACCTGGGGTCTTTCTGGATGCTGTCGATGGACGGGGATCTGGCCAGGGTGCCTTCGGGCGGGAGGGCGGGGCCGGACTTGCTGTAGGGGGACTCCACCGAGGGGCAGTATTGCAGCTGTCGGTAGGGATCCCCGTAGTTGGAGGCGGGGCCCGCGGCGTAGCTGGCCCTCTGGAAGGTGGCCGTGGCGTTCTGCGCGCTGTGCTGGCTGCCTGTGCGCTGCAAGGGGGCGGAGTCGACGCCGGGGGAAGATGGGGCTGCGACAGGAAAGCAGGGACAAGGTGAAACACTGAGGACCCGCTCAGGTCTAGGCGCGGGAATATTACACACGTGAGAACAATAAGGGTCGAGGCGAGTAACAAGCGGTTGGTCATCTCTGAACCCAGGAGCCGGCCACTATGCTATGGCAGATGGGAGGGTGGGTGGTCTGCTGCGGGTTATCAGTCACCAGCAGGCAAGAGGGGACCACTAACCTGCGCGAGACCTGCACAGCCGTACTAATACCCAAGGAGGCCCACTAGGGACTGTTTCTAGAAGGGGTTACAGGCAGTTCTTTGTGTTCCGTTGTGAAAATACAAAAAGTATTCTCTTCTTTAAGGGTGTCATCTGAATTTGGCAATGCAGTTCGTTTTAACTGAAAAAGAGCATAAGGACAGCGTTGGGGTGTGTGTGCTCGGGTGCAGGTGGGCTGACAGCTTTATGCCCAGCTGGTGCTGAAGCATGAAATGCAGGGCTGCTGATGTCTAGTAAGGCCACTCCTAGATTTGCATGCACCTCTTTTTCAACTAATAAATGCATTTGGGTCAGGCAGGCAGTGGGGGGCGGAAGGGGAGGCGCAGGGGTGACGGCTGACCCAACACAGAACAGAAGAAAGAGCTACTAGGCTTTTCCAGACATACTTGCTTCTCTTTAATGTGATGACATTGTTTTGAGGATTGTCATACCAGTTTGCTCCAGTCAGTTTGACCATTTCCAAATCGAGCTGGAATTTTTTTGCTGCCTTCCGGATTCCTCTCAGTTCTTCTGTGGTTGTTCTGTCTGGTTCTCAACATTTTCTGGTGCCTGCAGCTTAGCTGCAAGCTCAGGTCGGACCTTTTCCAAGAACTTTTAATACTTGTGCTCCGGAGGCCCCCAGATCAGATCAGACGCCAGGACGTGGGGACAGTTGGAAACAGACTCAAGAATGACTTTCTAAATAAGAAACGAGTATGTTCCCAAAGGAGCGTCGTTGGAAGTGAGGAGGGCCGCCCTGCTGGGGTTTTGACGTCATCAGCCACCAGGTTGGACTCATAAGCCCCATGTACGCGTCAGAGAAGCTGTGTTATGGGTTCATGCAATTTCTGGAGGATTTATATTTTCTTCAAAATATTATAAGCGTATCTAGTAAAAATTTGTTCTGAAATTTAAGAATGTGCTTCCTCTTGGAGAGACGGGGTGTAAAACTGAGGTCAAGCCTCACTTGCTTCGGGGAGGACGCACATGCAGAGGGCAAGAGTTTCATTTTCGAGGAACTGTGTTCACCTGGGAGCAAATCAAGGGGACGGTTGCTCCATCTGGCATTTTTTTCCCCCCCAAGCAGTGTATTTTGTTTTCCAGGAAAGCAAACAGCTACATGTACACTTGCTTAGAGTGGTTACTGATGCGAGGAAGTGCTCGTTTCCAGCATTTAAATAGAGCGGTCAGCAGGTCAGCAGGAGGGACACCATGGCAGTGGTCAGGAAGTGATAGTGGGACCCAGAGACACAGTCTTGGTCAAAAACAAAGCCAAACCAAGAAAACACAGGACACGTGGAGGCAAAAACCTGGCTAGCTGTGCTGAAAACGTCTCTCGAAGGACCATAAGCTCAGCGAGAATACAAGGAGAGGAAAGACCCTCCCGACAGCAGCCAGAAAAGCAGAGGGTGAAGGTAACTGCAGACTGGGTGCAAGTGTGAACACAGGGTGTGAAGTGCAGCCAGTGACGCAGAAGTAAGGCGACGTGTGTCAGCTCTCCTCACAGAGGAGGGAGCCCAGGCGGGCCTGGCGGCCATCTGCGTAGCGCCCATGCCTGTCCCACGGGGCTTTCTTAGGGCCGCCAGTGACTCCGCAGGGCTGGACTCTACAGCTGGAGCGCCAGGCCCACCGCCAGGCCTTCTGGCCATTCCTGGCACGGGCTGGGGTTTCCTGAGGGCAGAAGAGCAAAAGGCCCCGGAGTGGGCGTCCACGCGGACAGGGAGCATCAAATTCCTGACAAGTAGCAAATGCGACACAGAAGAGCTGTAGCTGCCACAAACAACATGGAATCACAGGATGTAGGGGGGCGTACAAGGCTCCCCACAGTGTCAGGAAGCGAGGCCCTGCGTGGCAGGCTTCTGGGCTCCCCAGCTGCTGGATATGTGGGGTGCACATATCCCCAGCAACCCGACAAGACAGTACACACATTACTCGTCATTCATCTTCTCACTTTTCAAGTGGGAAACTGAGGCAGAGAGATTGTGTTTGGCTGAATGTGTCTGCACGGCGGCAGGTGGTTCGCGCCCTTGCATTCTGCTTGTATAAATCAGGCCGGGTTTGCAGCCCAAAGGTGTTGGAATCACCCAGCAGGGTGAGAAAAGCGAGGATGAAAGTAAAGGGGATGTCTGCTAAAGGAACCGAGAGGAAATGGACTTAGGACAGGAAGTAACGATAGTAAAGCTGTACTACAAGCTGGGGAGGATGTGACTTACATCATTTCTCACTACCTCGTATTGAGACATGCAGGAAAAAACAGAAAATTTTTTTATGCCAAAAATTCTAACTGCTCAGACCTAGACAAATCACAGTAACAATCCTTTTAAACATCTTAATTTTGTTCTAAAGTGCTTTGAGACTTTGTTAAACCCATGATATCACTATACTAAGAAAAATGAGTTGGGAAATGAAATCTAAGGTGAGTAATCGATTTTTCGAAAGGGCACATTCTTTTTTTTTCCCAAAAAATTACAACTATATTTATGATACTTCACAAACGGCCCTTTAGAAGTATCGTCCCTGAATGCATGCTTTAAACTCCTGGTGGGTCACAATAAGTAAGACAGCTGATGGGAATTTCAAATGCAACATCAGAATTCATATGGCAACTGGCGGGTTAAAATATAGCCACAGACAACAATGGGAGAAAAAAACACACTGTTAAGGGCCGGCTGCGTGGTCCCCTGCATCTTGAGGATCTAACGGGTCGCAAACTAGCCACCCACAATGTGACCATGTAAGGCCTGCCGTGTTCTCATGACATAGAGCAACGGCCCCGCCAGTGTGAAGAAAGCAATGCTCGGCGAGTGGAGAAGCCCACGGGGCCGGCACGAGAGGCCCACGGGCCCAGCACGAGAAGCCCACGGGGCCAGCAATTTCCTCTCCATGTCTGCGCTGCTGTATGTTTATGCGTACGTAAGGTTTGGCGCTAGCTGGCCAAATTGTCTGTCTTGTAGGATTACTCTATTCAACTGAGCCTTTTCATGGCAAACATTTGAAGTGGAAGGTGCTTCATCAGCTCTGCAAACACTCCTCTCCCCTCACCTGCTCTGCAAACAGCCCCTTCTTCCCTCAACAAGCTCTTAGAACTCAATAACCACACTGCTGGTCTCTTTGGGGAGATTTTAAAGCACTTAAAATTTGAAGCAGTTGACTTCATACCTCCCTCAACATCGAAGCTGCTCGTGAACTCTCCTGTTTTCCGAGAGGTACACAAACCAAGGTCTAGTGTATCCCGGAAAAGTGGGATCTTTCATGGGTCCTACTTTTTTTCACAGATAGACAAGAGCCAGCCTTTTTAATAAGGTCAGACATCCCATTTTGATGATGGCAGATGGTTACCCTGCTGAATCTACTGGCAAGAGAATAAAAGAATGGAATCAAATGCAAGAACTGGGGACAGAAAGGAACTTGGGGAGCTATAAAGTAGAATTTAGCAACAGAGGAAGAAAAAACAAGACTTTTTTCATTACTTCTCTTTGCTTGTATATGCCGAAATACGGAAACTTAAAATATGTTATGTAAATGCAAAATAAGCATAAAACAAGCCAACGACGTAATGATCCCTGAAGTAGAGAGGCCAGGAAACAAGGTCCACTTGGGTGTCCTGGGTGGAAGAGGGGCTACACAGCATCAAAGAGGGGCTCAGTGCCATTGTTTTGGGGACAGGGACCCTTCTGCTCACAAGCCAGTTTCTTCTCGCTTAGAACAGACTTGTGAAGTTCTTCCAGTTTTCAGTACTTACAGCAGGGGCGGGTCTTGGCTAAGTCAGTGGAAAAACAAGCCAAGATACATGTAACATAAACTTTCAACTTTGCGAATTATCACCTTTGTGGAGAGAGGTGTTTAATGGAGGATCGAGAAGTGATGGGATCATTGTCGCTGACGTCGTTTTCACTGTCTTATTGGAAACAGCAGCAGAGCTGTTGACAGCAGTACCCCCAAAGAAAGGTGAGGTCAGGTGAGTGGATTTATTGTAGAGTCATTCAAAAAAGCATCCTTGTTGCTCTTCAGCGAGGCTACTACTTCTACTACTGTTACGGTGTTTGCAGCATCGTGAACCACGCAGATTTACAGAATGCGGTGCAAAAATTAAAATGCAAATGAGAGAATGGGTAAATGGAAATCCAAGGGGCACATTTTCCCTGCATCTGGATGATTTCATGCATATTTATACACATGGCGACAGGCACATTTTTATTCCCCTCTAATCTATGGTGGGGGGGACGGAAGGGTTGCTACTGTGGACCGTCCTGCTTTTCAGCATTTCAAGCCCACTTTGAGCTTTTCGTGGTGGGGCCCTCCTGCCTAGAAGTGAGGAGAGAATCACCACCTCTGGTGCATCCTTCAGCACTCGCTGCGGGCCATCGCATGTCAAACACGCACCGCGTTGCCATGCCCCGACCCCAGAGCCCAGAGGTAGCACTCTCAGGCCGCCCGGGTGCTTCACACACAAGCAGCTGGAGCACCTGTGTGGGCAGAACCCTACTGGAACCTGGGGATTCAGACTTCACAGTCTGTGGTTTCACCCCTCAATCCACTCTGGGTGAAAGGCTAGAAGTGCTAGGTGCGTCTAGTAACAAGGCCTGCACGTTCTGATGAGTGATGCCAAGAACAGAAAACAACCAACAAAACGGAGGCTCCTGGCTGCTGTGAGTCAGGAGTGTGAACAGGTAACGCCTGTGATCCGTATTATTTGCTGTTTCCATGTTCCGCAAAAGCTGTGCTGACATTTTTCTTTGGGTTCTTTGCGTGAAACAAAATCTCC